TGGGCACAAAATATAAAATTAAAGACTAGAGGACACTTTCTGAACAGCTGTTATATATTTTGGGGGAAGACTAAAACTGCTGGAGGTTAAGTACAGTGGGCTATAGTTAGGTACATAGGACCCACGGATAAGATACTCTTTCAGATGCTCCTGCAAAATTACTTTTGCAATGTCTGGCAGACCAGCATTAAATATAAGGTGACCTGGGGCAACCACTTCTAAAGTTAACAAACAAGGAAGCAGCTGTGAGGGGATGCTTTTATGTATCAGGGAGCCTCCAGCACTGCTCAGATACACTAGAGGTTACATAACGGTGCATGGGATGGCCATATAGAAGAGAGTTGCATAATTCTGATCAGATTATTCTAAATTTTCTTCCAACCAATGCATAATACCAAACCAGTGTAAAACTCACTGCAACCTGATTTCAGTTATCCAACTTAATTTCTTCAGATGAGGAAGAAAGAGAGAATCCAAAATCCATTGACCTTCCCATTTATTCTTCCTCTTTATACCAAGCTGTCTCAACAGGTTCCTATCGAAAACAAGCTGAATTCCCTACTACAAGTTTATTGGGATAATACTAAACATGATAGGGGAATATGAATTCATAAGTAACCAGTATCTTGCTGAAGAAAAGTTCTGAAATACCATTTTTCCCTTCTATTCATGATTTAATTTATTTCTGGTGCTTAATTTATAGAGACCCTAACAGGTTTCATCACCAGATACAGATTGGCAGCCTTAATCTAAACAAACTCATTGACAGCACTGTTAGAGCTCATTAGCGTTCTCACCAGATGCTTCTGTCTGTATATATGAGCGTCTCCAGCTTTCCTTTCCAATATGTAACCCAAGATACCAGCATAGCTTTCAAATTAAAACAAGAAATCTCATTACAGCTTCAAATCCTTGCTCTTCTGGGGATTAAATCTGTGCAAGGCTATGACAAAGCATTCCATAATTCTTGGGCTTCTTAAAAGCATTTTTTTGTTTGTTTTACAGATCATTTCAGTGATTTTTTTTGGCATTTCTCAAGAATCTATACAGACTGACTAACACGCACACGATTTGCTTTCACAGCAAAAGTGCAGAGAGCATTTGTCACCGTAAATATCACACAGGACTGTATATACACAGATGAAACCCGTGCTTCGTCTGTCTCTGCACAAAGCAATGCTTTGGCATGAAAGCTATCAGAAATTGTTATAGGGAAGAATTTAAAAACCTCATACACTGATTAAGTGGCCACAGTCAAAGTATCAGAAAAACAAGTTATGACCCAGCTCCAGTTTTTAACTGAATGTAAAATTAGAGGGCAGGGAGGCCAAATATGTGGGCTTCACAAAGAGTATCTCTGTGAATCTGCAAAGCAGGCCTGATCAGAACTCATGGTGAGTTTATTGGTCTATTGGCACTTAACAAGAAATGCAGCGGTGGTGACGATCTCAGCTTCAGCTCATCAGTCACATAGGTACAAAGCATCCAAATGGAAAACAGATTTTCTGATTCTCTGCACCTCCCTAGAGGCCTGTGCTGCTGCCTGAGGACTACAGAATTCTCCTTTCTCGGCTCATTTACAAGATAAACATATTCTGGCCTCAAATGCTGCTCCCTTCTAACTGCTGGTGAAAACTCTAGTCAGTCTGAGAGATTAAGAGGATCTAGGGCACTACTCAATCCAAGAAAAATGCTCATGTGGGAACGCAAAGCTGTTGTTGTGACCAGAGTTTTTTTTTTCCACTGGATCTCATTCTGCAAGTCCAGATCCAAATACTTTCTATCTTTATTCTTTATCCACATTAACTTCCTTCCCCACCCCTTTTTTTCTTTTTTTTTCTAAAAAAAAAAAAAAAGGGAGTGACACACTTGGATTTAAACAGATTTTTACAGTACTCATTAATACTGCTCTTCTGCACTTATGATGACTTAAGATGTGACTGAGACAGCACTCATACCCAGGCAATGTCGGGCTGGATCAGTATGTAGTTTTAATGCTTCCAAACACCTGAAGGAAGCAGCATTAGTGATCAGATGGATAGGACTGTTCCTAACTACCCCATATGTAAATTTATAGTTGCTTATAGTTATAAGATACCTTGTGCGAATTTTATATGAGCTGGTAGATCAGCCCCTACCCTTGTAGGCAAGCTCCAGTTCAGCTCTTGCTTTCTGCCTATCTGTGTCTGTCTTTGCAGTCTCTTTTGATTCCTGTTCTAAAACTGATGTATAGTGTTCCCAAGTTTTCTCAACATTCACTGACTTCTAACCCCAAATCAGTTGCATTTCAGCACTTGGAGCAGCAGTCCCTCCATGCTCCTCATGCTGCCTCAGATGGGTATGAATGAGCCCTAAAATCATTCTTATAGCAAGCTTTAAAACATTATGGAAACTGCTAAATTTGATAAAATTATTAGTGCTACAGACAGATCTCACGTCCCTATTACTTAACTCCCCTCTTTGAACTCAAGACAAGACATATGAGGACTGCGTTAGAAGCTACAACAGGAAAAGAACTAATTTGCTATCTTAGAAAATCCTTCCTAAGCAAGATTATTAAACCATGCACATTAACAAACACGGACTTTTAAGGCTGAAGAACACACTAAATTATCACAGTGACAGAGGACCAAATTTCTAGTTGATGTAAAGGTAAGTAATTTCATACAACAAACTTTGTCTAACTTATGTCTAGAGTTGGCCAAAACCCCAGAAATCTAGAAATCCTTGAACTTTGGGAAAGCTTTGATCCAGTCCAGACTTTGTGGCTCTGATCCCCTTCAGCTGGGAAGGACCCAAATATGCTTAAAATATATTTCACAACACATCTTTGCCTGCATTTTTTTCAGCTAGGTCATAAATACCACATGTAGAACCATTTCTCCTCATTCACAACACCTACTAGCAGAGGCAGCTATTCTCATCTCCAACCCAGAATGTCAAAAAATAAAAAAAAAAAAAATGCAAGAGCAAGCTGTAAATCAGTTGACCTGCTACCAAGAAGCAAGAAAAGAAAACTAAGGTACTAAAATCTGCATAGTCAGAATGTTTGGAAGAAATTCACACTGATGAGAAACTGTCTGACTTGTACAGTGTGGAACAGCTTGCAAAGCACAAAATGAGCCATATCACTCCTTTCTTGTTATCCCCTGTAAAACCAAAGACTCATCTGACTGCAGTTTCTAAACAAGCGTATGATGCAAGTCTGCTTTTTTTTTTTTTTCATAAAGTAACAGCTTCATTCACTGCAGTAGGAAAGCTGTAATCACAAACCGCGCAGGAAGGCTGTGGTTTTCAGATGAGCTAGCTGAGAGTGATGAAACTATGTAAAATCTAACCAGGGAAAAGGAGTCTGACAAGCTCTTCTGACTGCATTTACCACTGATAATTTAACAAATGAGCTGCTAATAACTTAAACCAAGTACAGCCAGAGCCTAGATCCACAGGTCATAGGATAACTCCAGTAGTAATAGACCTCAGGAGGTCAGACTGGGTTGCTCAGGGCTTTGTCCAGTTGGGTCTTGAAAACCTTCAAAGACAGAGACTGAACAGCCTCCCCAGGCAACCTGTGCCCCTGCCTGACTTGTCCTTGGGGTGAAAAAGTTTTTTCCTTATATCCAGTCTGAACCTCTCTTGTTTCAACTTACGCTTGTTATCTCACATCCCCCCTGCCCTCCACCATGCACCACTGAATAGCCTGGATTTGTCTTCTTGATAATTTCTCCATAGGTCCTAGGCAGTTGCTGTTTGTTAGGTGCTCCCAAAGCTCCCTCTTCCAGGCTGAACAAGCCTGGTCCAGCAGCCACTCCTCACAAGGCAAGTGCTCCAGCCCCCTGACTTTCTTGGCAGCCCTCTGCCAAAATTGCTCCAGCTTATCAATGTCTTCCCTGTATTGAGGTGTCTAAAACAAGGCTCCCTATTCCAGATGTGGTCTAACAAGTGCTGAGTCAAGGGGTATGATCACTTCCATTAATTTACTGCCTGTGCTACTGTTAGTACAACCCAGGATATTTTTGGCCTTCTTAGCTGCCAGGGCACACTGCTAGCTCATGTTCAGTTTGCTGTCTACCAAAATCCCCAGGTCCTTTTCCACAGAGCCGCTTCCCAGCCATCCAGTCCCCAGCCTGTATTACTGCCAGGGGCTCTTCCTTCTCATGTGCAGGGCTTCACATCTGTCCTTGATGAATTTTGTAAGATTTATGTTGGCCCATTCCTCCAGGCTGTCCAGGTCCCTCCAGAAGGCAACCCTGTCCTTCAGCATTATTGACTGGTCCTCCTAGTTCAGTGTTGTTTGCAAACATGAGTGCATTCTATCACCTCTGATACTCTGATAAAGATGTTAAACAGGATGGGTTCCAAGACAGACCCCTTTGCTACTCCAGTTGTCACAAGCCTCCAGTTAGAGTAGGAATCATTAACTGCTACCTTCCGAGACTGATCATTCAACCATTTCTTTACTCATCTAATTGTCTGCCCATCTAGACAGTAACAGTTTAATTTGCATATATGAACATTGTGGGAGATACTGTCAAAAGTCTTGTTAGTGTCAAGGGAAATTACATCCACTGCTCTCCCCTGCAACAGTAACAGTGGGAGTTCTGGTACTGAACTTCAGGGAACTAGTTTTAACTCCTGGCCTGGGGAAGACACACTGGAAGCAACAGCTGGTGCACAAGCTCTCAGAAAGAGTATTCTTCTCCAAAACACCTTTGGAAAGTAGAGATTTGTATTACTGGGATTCATTAGGCCAAATCCTTAGCTGCAATAATCAGCCCAGTTCCATTAAACTTAAGTCTATATACAGTATTTCATCTCAGCTAACAATCCTGGTTTATTATGCACCTGATATTTGTTGCATCAGCTCTACATTCAGGTTGCACAGACAGGCTCTAGGAGGATCAAATAGGAATAGCAAAGAAAACTAGAGAGATGCAGAAATTCCTCATTTCTCCTGGGAAATGCACAGATCCACTGTGTTCCTGTGACAGTCTTTCTCTTACCTTTGCAAGGAAACTCCATGCTGCATATTGCCCTGAGGTTGTGCTGCTTTTTAGCTTCACTGTGTGCAACATCAGAAAGAATCCCAACAGTCCACTGCAAGGGATGGGGAAAGCTTGTTAATAAAGTCTCTTAATTTCAACTAAGCAACCTCTTACAGGCATCTTGGTTTTCCTAATGCAGAACTGCAGTGCTACTCCCATTTGGAGGAAGAAAGCTGGTGGACAAAGAGCTTACATTATGGTCCAGTACATCTTGGGTTTTGTTCAGTCAGTGACTAGTCTGAGTAAAGTAAGTCTGACGCTTTTATGGCTGGTCTCTAATGCACTTGCATAATCAGCAAAGTAGAGATTATTGGAAACATGAGGTGAAATATTAACTTCAGGCACTGAAATGACTCTGAATAAAGGCAATGCTAATTTCAACAGGAGCCACACATGTTTGGCAACTAACTCACTTTAACCTCCACAGAGCCCTGAACTGAAAAAATAACCACTGGAAAGTTTCTGCCTGAAGCTTTCAAGCTGTTTAAATTTCATGAAGCCTAAATTCCAATTAGGAAGTCAAATACATCTCTACTGTATAACAAACAGACAGATGAGTCAGTAGTGCTGGGAACAGAATACTCCAAAGGTCTCTGCTGAAGATTAAGGCAATTTTGATTCTCAAGTCATATAAGGCAGTAGTCCCCAGTGCTCCTGTAGCCAAGACTACTCTTAAGGAAACTGTTCCACATCTCACTGGACCTCACATAGCTTATAAGCTTTGGCTCTGGATTTTGTTTCACTTGTGACATACTTATAACCCACTGGTTGTGAACCAGAAATACTGTAAATCAGCAAGCAGGGAATAGAAAAGGACTTCAAAATATGTAGAGCACAAATTACTGTGTGGCTGGTTGAGAGACATTAGAGATTATAAAGTACTGTGGGAAGCTGCATGGGAAAGGAAATAGGATCAACACAGCACACAATTGATGAGGCAAAAAGTGCCTTGGAATTTGAAGACGGTATGCTGTTCTGGGTAGTGATGCAATGCAGTTGGGTCCCTCTCTGCAATGGCAGAAAAGTTGGAAGATGGTGGCTCCCCAGGTCAGAAGTTCCATGCCAGGCTCCAGCACATCAGCCAAGTGCTGTTCCCTGCTCAGTACATGTGGCAAAGCTGCATCTCAGCCACATGTCAGTATAGGTGTCTTTGATACACCAAACAGTAGGGTAAGATAGCTGCCCAGGAGTAGGAGGTACTAGGATTTCTTATACTGAGCCATAACACAGACCCCAAAGGACTATCTGCTGTGCCTGGAGCCAAGAAAGCAGATGCTGCTTTGATGATAAAAGATAGGCCCAAACTGAGCTCCTTGTTGCCCAGGATGAAGTGCTGAGCAGTAGAGCATTCTGCCCTGAGAAATCAGTAAGTTCAATGAAGCAGAACTGCCCAAACTTTTGAAAGTCCAGTAGGTGGCTTAAGTTTGTTCCACATCTTCTGCCCTGATGAGAAGGGCTTTTAGTCAGTAATTTGAAGCTTGGTGTAATTTAGAGGTAAAAAGTGAAACAGCTAATTATAATACCTGAATTATTGATGTGACAACACCAATTTATTTCGTTATATAAAAGGAGCACTTTGCATCTTACTACTAATTCTTCAGACATTCTCCACGGGTAGTAGATTTAGCTGCATCAGTTACCCTTAGTTTACTTTGTATAGGTTTTCCTCCAAATCCTTTATGTCTACAAAGACACTAGATTACAGGATGTAGCAGAGCAACTGAGATGCTTGTTTCTTCACCTAACTACTCCTTTCCACTTGGTGTATTGTATAGCACTATCTACTATACATGTACTGAAGCTGGGGCAATGGAAACAGAAACGGGAGGCTACAACAGTGGTAAAATTCTAATGAAGTGAACAAGAGTATCTGGGCTAGACAGATATCCATTAGTGCCTGCAGTTAGACCTTGTCTTCAGGAAGAAATAGAATTCACCTACCTACTACGGAATAACTTATTAATTAATACCTAATTGCAAGTTACTTGTAGTGTGGATAGTTCATGCTTGAAATAAAGCTACTTTCATACCAAAAATCTATGTACATAGGGAAATCATTTAACAACCATTTTTAATATCCCCTCTTAATGGAATATCTGGATACAAGTAAGAAAATCCCTAACAATCAGGAAATATTTTTGCCATCAGTTAGCATGAAAATATTTTTTCCCCTCTAAAAAGAAAATACTTCCATTTGGCAGAAGACTGGAGGGGAAAGAGAGGAATAATTTTTTTGGAGATAATTAAAACCTATAGGAAACATATTTACATTTCTCTGCAAGTATTACACTACTGGCAGTGAACTTTCGCTACTCAAAATACAGGAACACTTGTTAAAGCTTTTTCCTTTTACCCCAAAAAAGCATTCTGCCAAATAACATGATGTACAGGTAAATAAATCCATGTACACCCATATACTGCTGAAGACTAATACTCTGTAAGCACTGTAAACAGCAAGTTTTAAAAGGGCTAATCCAACTTGAGAAGTATTTGAGACATGCTACTTATCAAAGCTGTGCTACAATAAGTAAAAATTATTTTACTGGTGACTGGGAACTCTTCTGAGCAGAATGCACTCACTCAAATAAACACATATACTTCCAGCCCATTTGAATCTCACGCCTCCAAATGCATGTCCACAGATACACCCAGATACATATTCTCTGCAGTTTTACTGGCTCATGCCAGCAGAAACTAGTACAACTAAGGTTTTATATGCTCCAAAAATTTTAACTGAGAGTCAAGGTTGACAGTCAATGGGATCTCTTATTTTGAAAACATTCGCATGTCCTGTTATAGAGAGGTTACCTGGCACAGCAGCTGCTGTGAAACCTGTAGAAGTACAGGAATGGAAAGTCCAAGGCACTGAAGAGATCACCTGAGGGACAAAGCAATATTCTCAGTGGAACACAGGCGAAAAAAATTACCTGCTGTTACAAGCAGGGGAACAGCAATTATATTAACATTACTAGTTTAACATTCCTTTGAGCCTTTACAGCTGGCTGACTTTACATTTATGATGCTTTCCACATTTCTAGTGTGTTTAATGATTTCTCTCTGACCTTGCTTCTAGCCAGTTCCTGCCTTTGTCTGAAAAAGGGGAAAGGGATACCTAAGAGTATTCTTTGCTAGTATACAGAAGATCCTGCTTTAGCAACATTTGCCAGTGGATAGACATGCATCATATCTACTTCTGTTATTACAGAGCTCATGATAGTTCCTACTGAAGCAACAGGAAACACCAACATACATTGGCTGCTTCCCCCTCTGGCATTTTAACTCTGTCACACAGAGTATATTGAGAGGTTTAAAAAAGTTCTCCCAGGTCCAAGCAGAGCTCTGAAGTACTTGCATTTCCAGGAACCTGGGACTTGGTTGCTCTTGGTAACAACAATTCCCAGTTGTCCTCCAGCTTTCAGGCTCTACAGATTCAGAAGAAGCTCCATCTTTAACTTTTTGAAATGCAGGACTATTTTGCTTAACATGTTTGTCTACCCTGGTTGGGGAATGCTATATACACGATATGGACCACCAGGCAAAAGGGGGAATTTATGTTTATTTCAATGCTTGTTCCTTTGTTTTTATCCCTGAGCAAATATCTGGTAAAAGCAACAAGATGGATCTTCTTTAGCCTAACTATTTAAACACCGGTATGACAGGAATATTAGCCACCATCAAATACTCAATTTCTCCATTTTTAGCCTTTGATCTTTTGCTACTTCAAATCCTGGCATGGGCTCAAGTGATGAGATACATCTTATGAAAGCAACAAAATGAAATTTCTGCATAGCATTGAGGGAAGTGCAGAGAAGGAAACTCAGTTCTATATGGAATGCTGGGATGCTGCTCTGAAAAGGACATATTCACCTAGGGAATCCTTGTTCTTTACCATGCACCACCTCAAACACTGTTCTTTGTTGTCTGTCCCATGCTGCTTCTTTGCAAAAAGCAGTTAAGAAACATATTAGTAAATATAATGCAAATTACACAGTGTCGCATACCCTCCTCTCCTCTTCCTACAAGGTATCGTATTATTGGTCATATTCCTGTTGAATTCCAGAGCTAAAATGCTACAGGGTTTGGCCTCTGAAGACATTCATGGAAGACAAAGGCAATATGAAAACCTAAAGAAGGAACAACTCAATCCACTTTACCTGCTGGATGGGATGCAGAGGCCAACAGCACCACACTAAAAAATAAAAAAAGATTAATTTTATATTACAGAATTTATGACACAGCCTGAACATTATAAATCGACAGATTTGTGTTTGTTTTTTCATGGTGAAACTTATTGCAGTTAAGTAGAATAACTGAGGCATAAGTACCAATTAAAAAAAAAAAGAAAAAGATGGTTGGGAAGAAATCTTCAGGGTCACCTAATACAACCTCTCACCTGAAGCAGGATTATCACCAATATTTGATCATGTCCTCTGTGGCTCCGTCTCAAAAAGCCAGGTCATAAAAACCTCCCAGCATGGAGATTCCACACCTCTTTGGGTAACTTGTCCCTGGGCCATCTTACTCTCCTTGTGAAGAAGTTTTTCCTGATGTCCCATCTCTAAACCACCAAAGCTGCAATTTATGGTTGTTGTTCCATATTATACCATCTGTAACTCCTTAGAAGAGTTTGGCTCTGTCATCTTTGTAACTCCCTTTCAAAAAGGTATAGGCAGCTGTTAGGTTGCACCTTGGTCTCCACCTTCCCAGACTCAACAGCACCCGCTCCTTCAAGCTCTCCTTGCAGCAGGCCACGTGTGCTCTAGGTCCCTAACCATGTCAGTGGCCCTCTGCTAGATCTTCAATTTCCCAACATCTTTCCTGAACTGGGAGGCCTAAAACTGAATAGACTATTTCAGCTGTAGCCTCAGCAATGCTCATAGTAACTTCTCTCAATCTGACAGCCATGCTCCTTCTAACGTAGCCCAATACATGGTTTGCTTTAATTTGCCATGAGCATGCACTACTGCCTCATACAGATCTCAGCATTCACTGTTACCCCCAAGTCCTTTTCAACAGACCTGCTATTCAGCCAGCTAGTAACACCACTGCGACAGAATCTACAGAAAACTGTAGTCGTGTCTAGATTTGACTGTCTCTTTGTCCAAAGGTTAATAGCAGCTGTGTGTGTATTGATGTCTACTTTATAGGGATGAGCATATACTGAACATAAGAGTCAAATATAGAGTCTTATGCGTGTGACTGTGCATGCACAGCACATTCATGCCCAAAATGTCAGTTAGAGAAAGAACAAATGCTGCAAACAAGTTTAAAGAAAATGCATGAAAATAAAACCGAGTACCATTCAAATGATGCACACTTTTCAGAAAGATAGAAGTGAACAAAAAAATCAGCTATGACCAATTTTTCACTTGGAGTATCACGTAAGATTTCTGAGGTCCTGTAAAGACTTCATTCCTCTGAGTTTGCAGTATAGGCTGTACAGAACCCTTTTCAGTGCTACTGATTCTTCCTGTAAATTTCTGACTTTTTTCCAAATGTTTTCATTCCATGTCGTTTCTAAGGTTAGAAGGCTACAGAAACATATTCTGGAGCATTGTTAAGATGGGAGAAGCATGCATGTCTCCAAAGCAGAGCTACAGCTTCCTCCAGTTACCAACCGCATACATTCCTGACAAACACAAAGGACAAGAGGGAGAAGGAGAAAAGAGTATCTAGAGAGGTTGCTTCTTGATAAGCAGCAAGCACTGCACTTAGGTAAAAAGTCATTCATTAATGTTATGAATGCTAAAGCGAGGCCAGTTTTCCCTGGCTAATTACCAGTGATTCTTACAGTCCACTAGGCCCAGTAATGGCAGTAAAGTGCCAACACAGTCAGCAGAGGAATGGAAGCCTGCACAATGAAAAATTAAGGCAGAGAAAGAGCTGGAAGTGGTTCCCAACGCACAAGGTTAAGGCTAGAAAACTCAACTTTCTGTAAATGAGCTACCTCCAGTACCTGCAGCAGTACAATATCATCAGCGTCGTGCTTATACCAGTCCAACTCCCTTTTCCAGTGCTGACACAGGTACCATTTCCAAGACTGCTCTCAGCTGGTCCCAGCTCTCTACATGACCAGGCTACTGCACTTGGTGGCTTGCCCTTGGCATGCTTTGGTGAATCCCAGCATCATTTGCAAAGGCACCAGTAGCAAAAGGAACTGCAAAGAGCATGGAGATCCCATGGCCAAGGAAGCCTTGGGGGGAAAGCTTGTCACTGAAATCAGCCATGGAAGACAACAGGCTGAAGGAGGAAACAGTTCATGAGTGAGAGGCAGGAAGGTATTTCAGGCTTAACATTTTATACAATAACTTTGGAAGACATCAGCTGGTACAGTATGTTCATATTGTCAACATTTACGCATGCTTTTAAAAGACGTGGTCGTCACAAAGATATTAAACAAGGCAAAGCAGATGACTTACAGTAGGTAATTCTACCCTGACCCTCCTCCCCACACATGTATGTTCTCCACACACAAGATGCCAAGAGGAATTCACAATAAAAAGGCCCAATTCCTCAGTTTCCTGGTAAAGAGAGGAAAGGAAATGAAGGCCTATTGCTTTTGACTGAATAACACAGAAAACAGGAGACTGGCAGGGCAAGTGAAACTGTATCAACAGTGATGAGAATTATGACTGAGCCGTGTTTCTGCACTTTTGCTTTTTTCATTATTCATTTTTACACAAAAAAATAACTGAGACTGGGAAATGCTCAGAAAGAAACTTCCTTCTGCAACCAAGAGGAATTGATAACCCTACCAGGCATCCCAGGCCTCAATCCAAGGAAAACATAGGAGGAAAACAAAACCTTCTTTATGAAGCGTGGGGCAAGTTAAGGCAAATGAATTATATGGCATTAAAGCTGTATTGTAACTCTGCTCTGAACAGAACATTGGTAGAAAAGACACGATGATGTTGTAAACCCATTAGGGATTCAGAGGTTTCCATCCAGCAGGGCAGCCTGGACATCAGGCTGCAGCAAAACCAAAATCCTTGTGCCAAATCTGTCTGCTCTCTTTTCCCCCTGCACTCAATATTGAGGGCTGGGTTGCCCGTGGTTTTCTTTCTGGCTAAAAAGAGGTTTTGTCAGCAAGAACAGCAATTTATGCCTGCAAAGCTGACTCTCCCTATTGCAGAAAATCTACTGCAGCAGCTCTTCCAGAAGCCAGATGTAGTTTAGCTGCATAAAGCCTTTACCTCACTCCTTTGTCAGTGTCATTTATTCACCATTTGAAACTTTCCCGCTATAAGTTTTTCTTTTTTCCACACCAGTGACTGCTAGGCTATCTGGCATGTCTTTGTGAACAAATATCAGACAGTGACAGATACTGTGGTTTACTGAAACTTTCTTCCAGGGTCTCTACAAGAAGTAACATATCTCTACCTGCCACTGTATTGGAGAAAGCCCAAGATGAGCTGCAAGACACTTCTAAGACATATTATGTATCCCTCAAAATGCCAGGTAGACATTACTACCCCCTCCCCTCATGCTACCCCTTGCCAGCTAGCTAAGGGGGAGATATCTGGCTCCCTCTTCAATAAAAAGTGGGGGACTGGAAAGGAATAAAAGAAAATTTTATGTATGACATAATAAAATGCAAGATTACTGGAAAAGTCACTAGGAAGTAGGACGCTAGAGGGCAAGGAAATACAGTACTACACCAAAAAAAGGAGGTGAGAACAAGACTGGAGGATTAGAGGGAGGTTCCCAGAAGTGCATTTCCCCTCTCTTCTTCCTTCCCCTCCTTGCCCCACACGCTTAAACACAAAGGAGATGGATGAACAGGATGGGGTTGGGCACTGAGAAGCAACTTCCCTGCATAGCACAGCTCTGCTTTCCATCCTATGCTTGTTCCTGATCTGGCTCCCTTTTTAAAAGCCACTAAGTAACCTTGATGTAAAGTGATGAAGGGAGAAGAATACCACACTTTCAACATCAGTGGATATTTCTTCAGATCTGTTTGGATCTAGAAAGTTCCCGTTCATGTACATTTGCTTAAGAAGTTCTCACCTCCCAAACTGTTCCAGATTTTAAAACAAGAAACAGTGCATGGCATGTAGGGACAACATATGTTAGGAGACTTTCCTAATTTCAGTTGCACCTCTGGAAGTGTCCAACAGAGTTAATACAGTTAATGCTTCTTTTAATCTAAACATATATTTTTGAAATCTAACATATTGCTACATTCTAACATCCAGTAGCTTGGGGAAGAACTTTTAATCTGCTCTATGGAGGCAGTCTCCACACTCACAGTACAGCTGTGTTTTCACAGTGAAGAGACATTCTTTGAACAGCCTCTATTGAAACAAACCTAGATATTTTCCTATATATTATGAAAGATTTCTTCACCAAAAGAGTTGTCAAGCACTGGAACAGGCTGTCCAAGGAGGTGGTTGAGTCCCTATCCCTGGAGGTATTTAAAAGATGCGTGGACATGGCACCCTAGGACATGGTTCAGTGGTGGGCTTGGTAGTGTTAGGTTTACAGTTGGACTCGGTGATCTTGAGGGTCATTTCCAACCTAAATGATTCTGTGATTCTAAACATTATCTGGCTGTGCCCACACAGCTGCTGCCTTTTCCCCACACAGCCGCATGTCAGCTGTCTGATGAGCTATAAAGGCCTACTGATAGTAGCACTAAGAGGAGAAAGTTGCACTGATACCACACTAGCATGTTCCTTCATAGATCACAGAATCATAGAATCATGCTTATACAGACAAGGCCACCAGTACACGTTGGACTGTCCTGTTTTGGAGGTGGAATTGGGATCCTGTCATGGCCGAAACAGTCCTTGAGAAGCCACGAGTAGAGGCAGCAGCATGCACCTTAATGCCTGCTAAATCACAAAATTCAGGGCTGGGCACCCTCTGACAGACATAAGCACACATTTCCAGTAATTCTGACCCAGAACTGCCTGTGAGGAGATAGTGGTCATTCAGAGAACATTCAGAGTAAAATGCCCTCTACTCAGTGTGATTTAAAAATACCTTTTGACCGTTTTCTACAGAAATTAAGCTTCTGCAAGAAAGCTGTGTGTACACATACATACATAGCTCTACATAGCTCTCAAACATGATGACCAGATTCATCCAAATTTGGGAAATGGCAGTCATCTCCAAGATAACTACATGTGCAGATGTCTCACAAAGAGACCTACCCTGCCAGTGCCTTCTGCAGCAGAAAGATTTCAGCCCCATTAGACACTGGAGGACCTTCGTGGCAGCGGCATATCATGGAGGTCACAAACAAGGTGAGAACTTCTACCAAACTTCACACCCTTTCAAACGTCATCAGCTATTATGACAAAACAAAACAAAACTCTAAAAGAAATCAGATGTCATTTATCCCATTGCCCACAGTACTGTTTGTTTTCCCCAGACAAGATGAGGTCCAAATGCTATGGACTCTGAGCTTTTCTAACACATAGAGATATATACATACATACATAGACATATAAATATCCACAGACCCAAGCCAAACAAATAAGCATTCAGTCTTCTACCTCCTCTAATCTACCTGTTTTCCAGAAATTGCTTTGCACCATCATCTTGCAAGCTACACTGACCTTTAAGCCTCTTAATAGTGAAAATCTTTGCAAGCTTTGATAACACATTTTTGCTTTTAAGCAGATGCTAAAAAAAGCCATCTTCCAATTTGCACAATTCCACTGTTGTTTTGTTTTGTTTTGTTTTGTTTGTTGTTTTGTTTTGTTGTGGATTTTTTTAAATAACAGTTTTAAGATACATATCACTGCACCTCAAAGTTCCTTAGTGAGAAGTTTCTCACTTTCAAAAGCCTCTGTATCAATAATCATACTTTCCATGTAGTGTGGAACTCCTGCTCTCTGCTGGACACAACTTCACAGACTTCAAAGGATACCATCAACTAACGTAGCAGGAACACAGCCCTGACTTTTCAATCAAAGCTGCAAAATTAAGACCTTCAGCCAAAATCTGAATTTAAACGTTCAGGTCCAGATGCAGTTTTCATCTAAAATGACAACTAAAAGCCATAGCCAAGCAGGTGCCAAATGAAAAATCAACTGATTTTACTGCTTGTTTCATGGTTCTCCCTTCACCACAGACAAATAGCTACAGCTCATCCAAGAATTCATGGGTTATTTCTGCACACAGCAGCATATTTGCCAGTTCTGTGACTAATTCTTCAAAACAGTTTCAATAAGCACAACTACTTTATTTGAGTAAAACTGATTTGTTTTGTACTTCATAGTAGACGGTAAACAACAACTGACTTAAACAAGAGCCTACTTCAAGCAAACTGATATTCAGATATTGTCAACACACGGGACCCTGGTAAATAGACACTGGAATGATACAAATACACAATGAAAGGCCTGTATTATTTACTTATGGAAATAGGGGACTTGATTGAACTAAGATAAAAGGAGATACACAGTGTTATCATGTTGATGATGGTCCCAAGATAAAAGGGAATTCAAGTGAAGTAACTGTTCTACATTGTCACTGATGTGTTCCTATCAAGGAACTTTAATGTGGTCAGACAAGAGCACACATCCATCTAATCAAATGGACACACACAATTTCACTTCCGTTATGCTTATTCCTAACTTCTACTCTGTCATTCCATTTGACTATCCTTTCTTAGAACTTAGTATCTGTACTCCATAGTGGTCCCATACTTCAGATACCATTCCAAGAAAATAAGTCAACATATACAAGATGTGATTATGGATGGAGGAGAATCTAGTAAAGTCTCTATATGCCTTACTTCAAATAAAGACTCACAAAAATCTAGTGGAAGCCATGCACACTGAACGTTCTGGCTTATATGGCACTCTGAGGAAAGGACTGAATTTTATTATTTTTTTTAAATAAAAAAATGCAAGGGAGTCTGGTCAGTGAGTGACTCAGGCTCTTTCCCTAACTACAAAATAACAAGCCACTTTTATATCTCCAAATCAGAAAAACAACTGAAAGTCTGAATTACTCAATCCCACTAACCGCACTCTGAACAATCAGTTACTGCTCATGTTCTTTGCACATCGTACTTTTGTAATCACTACCTCCCCTTCTGGCAATTTTGTACAAGTTTTATTTTCTGAAGTGGGCTATTGCCAGGGAGTTACTCTGTAAATATTATTTCTGGAAATGATACATCACTTGTGCACATGGTGATTAAAAAATTCATAATTAACACCTCGTTACCTCCCCAGGTGTATATTGGCATGTCCACCTATAACCAGAGCCAAAAAAATTCAGCTGCTAAGCCATTCAGTTTAGCACCGTTCTTTCAGAGAATATTCTGTTAAATAAATCCATTTAAGTAGTGGTAGCTCTGAGTTCCCTAAACAAGTCACAGTTGAAAATGAAAACATATACCACATAAAACCGGCTATGGTGTACCAAAGGCTTATTCATTTTACCTGAATACATAGTTGATGTACTGTTGGTCCAGATCACTGGGAGAGGAGGGAAAGAAAAAAAAGGTGTTCTTTTAGTAATGCAGTTCATTTGGTATAAGAGATCAGTATAGTAAGTAGCATTATAACACTGTAATATTACATAATGTTAATATTATATAATATATGACACAATGTTATGATTAGGTAATGCTAACACTATATTATAATTATATATATTACAACAATAATCTATTAATATTATAACAATATGAATATATTAATCGGCATATTAATTTACACATCATTTGCACATTATTTCTGTTGTTACTATGTCAGTGGGAATCTCATTTAAAGTGGAGATAAAATGAGACTGAGTACAATTTAGACCCTTTAACCAGAGATGGAAAATGGTTTTGAAATAAATGCTTATCCATATTCTATACACGCATGTATTATGTACATATACATAATATGCAGAGGCAACATATCCATTCCCATCCATACAGACAACTGCAGATTATAGACACTGTGGACATGTAATGCCACCTGCTTTCAAAACAACTATTGTCTGGCTGAAGTTCTAACACGGACATGGGATTACTGCAAGGTGTCAAGGTTTTTAAGGTACTCAGCCATTCCAGTCCTGCAGCAAGTCACCAGCTGCTAAACACTTTTGAGACTGGATCGCAAAGGGAGATACTGGCAGATTCCAACCATGCAGATTTCAAAGCTAACACTAACATTTCCTCTTAATGTCTGTAATTAGGGGTTCTTTTCCCAGGACTCAGTCATCACCCTTTGAGAATACACTGTTTAAAACTAATTCAGCGTTTGAGTTAGCAGTGTAACTACCAATAACCACAGGCTATTGTAATCAACAATAAAAACGGCTTTTCTTGCAAGAGAAGTCACTAATGATTAACCAAGAATGGCCCACCACATGCTGATAACACAGAGATCCCTACAGTTTACCTAACTGCTACACAGATGTGTCTCTAACCCTCTTTGACAGCAATCTCTTTCTTTTTAAAAGAATATGAAAACACATTACCTTAAAGAGCTAGGTTTCCATAACTTGTGAAATACTTTGTAAGCCCCTGTAATTGAAATGACATGTGTAATTGCCAAAACATGCAATCATTCTGACAGACAACAGCTTGTTTGGCCATGGCACCAGCAGACATGGAACCCCTCTGAATTACAGTTTAGCAACACCGCACAAAGGATGCCTAAACCCTGAGTAAAATTAACCTATCGCTTCAAATTAATGGTTTTCAAAGAGTTATCTCAGAGTACTGTCATGCTGTGTTTCTGCTAGTCCTCTGAAGAAGAGACAACCCCTAGCTCACAGCAACTATAAAGGAGTGTGTATGTGTGTAAATACATACAGAAAAGTGTCACAGAATGGGTTCTTCAGCCCACCCCATTTTTGAGGTAACTTCAAGGATGTGTTCATCTACATAGACCTCTACAACTGTTGGCTCTGAGCTGTCTTTCCTGTTTAGAGTTCGCACAGCTCTAGGGTCTCCAGGTTCTTTACATTCTTGACCTACCAACCTCTTGGTGAGCTCCAATTTCTATTCTGGGAAAAGCTTTAAGCACTCACGGAAGGAACAATACGGCTTCAGACCCTATTTTTTCAGACCCTTTCTTCAAGGCTTTTTTTTTTTGATTCACAAAGAAGACCCGAACATGAAAAGCAAATTCAGTAGAACACTATGTAATAGATGTCCTCAATTCTGCCTCCGTTAGACAAGCTGAAGGGTAAAACATATGTCCTTTCTCTAATGCTCTGTGTTGATTAACTGTGTGATAAGTTAGTTCATCTCTTTGCCCCTTCTTGTAGCATCTTTATTCTGTGTCAGTTGATAGGAAATCTAATTACACAAAAAAAACCCAACAGTCATATCCACAACTTTCGCTCAAAACCAAGAGAAATTGAAAGAAGCTATATTTTGAGCATAAACATTATGTTGGCACTTCCTACATGTTTCAAGCACACAGAAGAGGCCTCCTGAAGACTCTCTAAGCAGTTTTCCACCTCCGTGGCCTAGAGCTGCTTTACAAATGAGACCTCTTGGCTTTGAGAAAGCAGTAACATCACTCGTTACAGCAAACAAGTATTTGAAGTGAAAAATCCTTGGCTTTTTGTTTTCCCTAACTGAGCAAATGTTTACCATATAACGTTTCCTAAAGGAAAAAAAAAAATATATACATATATATATGCATATATATATATATATACACTATTTCTTATATGTATGTTAACAACATACATATAAAATGAGATCTCTAGACCTCCCTAGACACAAATACACACAAACACATTACCTCTGCCCTGAAATTTTTACTGTATGAATAGACAAAATAAAGAAGGAATCATCCCTACTTTGCAGACAAGATTTAACATATGAATGAGTCACTCACTAAGTCTATAGGACAGCTAAGAACCAAATGTAAGTCCCTTATTATCCAGTCTAATGCTCCAAAAGACACAAATCTCCTGGTTAAAAATTACTACTCTTGTTTTCTTCAGATTTTCTGGGTCTGTTTCTAGGTTTTCAGGGAAGAATTATGATTTATCCAAATCAATGTTTAGTCTGAAAAAGACAAAAGAAAACCTGACAGGTTATGCAACTCATTAAAATTTTTTAAAAATGCGTAAGATTGCATAAAACTCCCCAATATTTCAACATCCTTCCTCTGGGAGAATATTCCATGATATTTTAGAGTATTTTTGTCAGTTTTTAAATAAAATCAGTGACTGCAATAAAGCTCCAACTACAAGTTACTGTTTGATTTTTTTCATGTTTCTTCTCCCTCAGAAAGAAGTGTCTCTTAGTAGGCAACCATAAAAAACTCCCAGCAAAGCTTAGTGCTGATTAAAATTGTATGTGCATTTTCTCATCCACTGTTAACTGACTGCAATATCTATTTATTCTGTTGTTATTTTCAATGTAAAAGCTATACAAGAATGCACTTTGTTATATTTGCTGAGACCCTTCATCCTTTCTGAGTGTTTCTAACATCAAGAACCTTAAATATCAGCAACTTCATAATAAAGATCACTTCTCCAACACATTTACTCTTCCTAATCCTTTTTCCAAAAGAAAATTACTTACCAACACAGATCAAATGAATTAGAGCCCATAAATAACCGTTTGGATCAAACTGAAATAAAGAACATCTACATAAATAAAAGCACATTCATGTAAACTTACATATTGCTATTTCCCTGCAGCTAGCTTCACAGAACAAGCAGAGCAAGTGTGAGCTATGCTACCAAGCAATAAAAGATGACTAAAGAAGACTAGGAAGACTAAAGTTTCTCCTGTCCCACCTAGAGACCTGGCATATGGCAGTTACCCAGGCTCTCTGCTACTCTTGGTGAGAGTAGCTCCATTTCTTTCAGACAGGTGCACCATTTTAAACAATCTGAGCATACGGACCCCAGTGTGTTTAGTCTTGTACTGGCAGTCAGGGAGGGGCAGGCATATCAGAGGAACATCACCAAGGTTTTTGTCTTGCCTCCTTTCCCCTCTCAGCCCCTGCAGCAGCTAAGCAGTCTCTCGCCCCAAGGCTCCAACTCACCACAGAGTATCCAAAAGAATGCTTTAAACAGACACCTGTCTCTGAGCAAGGTAGGGTCTCTTCACAATCAGTGGGGAAAAATCAACATTTTTGAGAGGAAGTCACCCGGCATATTTTAGATGTCTGCTTTCAGGGGAGATGAATTGTTCCCACTCTGCACCATGGACTGTCGAGGGAGCTCGTGCAGATGCAACACTTCTCACGGCTACATTTGATCAGATGCATCCACACAAGTTCCCAGATTCATCCCACCTCACTCCAGACATTAACTAAGTATCTGAAAGAAGGAAGCAGCCTTCCTAAGTCTCCAAAAGAGAAAAGCACCTCTAAGGAATAGATTTTTACTAGACTGGGTACTTCCTCTCTTTCTCCAGTAGCTACAGAAAGCATGTAGAATGATTACAAAGCTGATTTAGGAATCTCCTGAAAGTACATGCTATTAATTCAAACTAAATTATTTGCTCTAAGCCCTATAAGAAGTACAATTGTTGTTCCCCCAGCCACCACCCTCATGAAAGACCTGTGTGTCTGCACTGCTCAGAGGTTTTACCATGGTCCAAACACATTAAAACCAGCAAGACTACAACACTGCAATAGGCAACATTTACAATTCCTTCACAGGAATCCCACCCTAGCTTACAACTAAAAGCTGCATCTGTGATATGCTAACAGGATGTCAAATATCAACATCTAACTAGAGCTACTTTACAAAACAGATCTCACCTGTATGTCACATAAGGGAAGGCACACTGCTGCTACCAGGAGGAACAGCACACTGTGGAGAAGGGGAAAAAACCAAACGAGATCAAAATCTCATAAACTGGATTTTTATGCTCAGCAAAGTATAGGCAATTCTACTCAATCTTACACTGACATTTAATTTCTTTAATTTTTATCCCATATTTAAAAAGTAATTTCTGCCACCAAAACTGTTTTACATCATGTATTTGTTATAACTCATACACAGCAAAGTTGTATGAGAAGAGAAGCAGCACAAAACATCTCAGCAGTGGTGAAAACAAGCTTTTTGGTAGGGAATACTATTCTTCATCTGCCATCCTGCTTCCCCAGGCTACCCCAGAAAGCCAAAATCAACCAATTTCTGGCTGTGAATTGCTACCAAAAAGTTATTTCATTAAAGTTTCATAATACAATCCCAGCAGAGGTGACTCCATTAAAAGTTATGGTGTAAGTCCAGAACACAGGGCAAAGTGGTAGTGGTATTACACTATTTAGTGTAACTTATTTAGTCCACCGACTTGGACTAAATAAATTCTTAACCTGTGGCTGAGTCAGTATTTCTACAGGCTACACTGAATACACTGCTGTGGAGTTTCTGTGGACCGTCACTATTAATAATAACAAACATTTGCTTTTGCAGCAAAAACTCCCGTCTTTTCCCACTCTCTAGGGGCATAGGAAAAGACAGAATAAAGATGATAAAACCCCTGGTATCCTTGACAATAATCCAGTGGTGAAAACAAGGCCACAGTAAGTCAGATAATGGAAACAACGGGAAGAAATTCAGAAGATGGTGCCTCCAAGTACACTAAACAACATTATCCACTGTAAGTACAGCTAAAAGATTAAACATGGGGGACAGCAAATATGCATTCTTCAAGGGGATTGGGGGGGAAGAATGAAACTTTTAATACATGACTGGCCAACTTCTGTTTGTCCCTTTCTATGTCCTTTCTGAAGCCTAAATAACTAGGGCCAACAAGTCTTGGTAGTTTGTGTAGCTTAATATGAATGACTCTAGCAGAACTGGCTAACACTCACCTTTTCTTTCTCAGGAAAGGCATTTTTAGCTATTTTTCTATCACATTAATAATCTTTCTCTTACTGTTTAAGATTACTCACTGGAACTTCAAACCTGATTTCTATCTCCTTTCCAAAAACATACTTACAAGCACTGCTTTGTTATTCAGGAAGACTGGCCTTCTGGCTTTTTTTATTTTTATAAGGAGAAAAAAAATTATCTATTTAAGCAATTGTAAAAAAAAAAAATTAATTACTCATATGTTGCAATATAGGCTCACCGCCCATAGGAACGTGCCTTACATTCTTTATTGTTTTGGTGTGCCATTATCTGAAGCAAATAGAGAAGCTGGAGCCAAAGCAAGTCTGAATCTGAGAAATTTTAAAAGCTTACCTACAGACTTTCAGATGAGAGGTCTGCTGTAAAAAAGAAAGTATGATTAAAAAAAATAAAATTTAAAAATAAAAATGGTGAAATAGTGTTTTCTCCTTGCAAAAACAGGAAAGTGATGATAGATGATATTACTGAAACAAACACATTAAAAAACCTATGAGCAACATTCAACAGCCCATTATATTTGAGCACTGCTTAGCAAATTTCATTTAAAAAAATAACCAGGAATACAGATTAACCTACTTCAACTTGATTTATATTTTCAGATTACTTACCAGCAGGTAAACCTAAAACCAGACATGCACTTTATACCTGGTCCTCAAACTTCACTTGAACTACACCATATATTACATGTACTCAGGTATTGAGTATTCCTGATTAATTAGGTTCTACTCCAGCCAAATCAGTCTTGGTCTAAATTCATCAGAGTTTCCCAATCCTCTGCTCCAAAATTATTCTCCAGAAGCTTCCCAGCAAGACCCGTGTTTGCATTATCCTCATCCACAGTGCTTTTGTCTTCCAAGAGAGAAGACATGAACATGTGAGCTAGAAGGAAAATACGAAACACTTTGATAGGGACACTAATCAGAAGACAATGCCACAGGGACATGCCATGGTACACACTGCTCCGTCCCTCAGGCATAACCTTAGCGACCTCTTTGGTTAGTTAGGAGTGGCAAACATGGGCCATTTATTTATCTTCTATATACACAACAGAGGTAATGAATGGATGATCCCTCCCACAGCAAGCCAGGGACCACTGTAGAAAAGACTTTGTGACGAATGATTTCCCAGTGTTACCTCACACAGCAGCTCTCTGGTCAATTAAAAAAGCATTTCATAGCCTAAAAAGAAGAAGTTCATGAGAAACAAACCCAGCTCTTACTAAGGAGAGCGAGAATTACTCTCTTGACTTTAATAGGTCTTGGGACAGATTCTCAAGCATTCAATACAAATCCAAAAATGCACTGTTCTTCCTGCATTTCATGTGGAGATGTGATTTCTCTATAATCATACAATATATCAAATACTAGATATATTATACTGGTTAGATCTAAGGACCCAGTCCTTCTCCCTCTGAGCTCAAGCAATGAGATTCTTACGTGGGGCATGAGAGAAAGGTAATACTAATTTTCAAAAGGAAAAAACAAGCAGGACCAAGCCAGTCTGAAAAATGCAGATCAAACTGTCAATATGCATTTGTACTGTTTCATCAACTAAAGAGGAAAAGAACATCAATACAGACACTTGTCAACAGCAAAGCTCTCTCTGGGTCTCATTAATGACTAGCTATCACAGCAAGACTAGAAAAGCACACGGCACTAATGCCCATATTAAAAGAAATCAGGTGTCTTGTTATAGGGCAATTATATCACAGAAGGTACCTTAAATATGTCAATTAATAGATCAATTACCTCTTTCTGCACAAACTTCTGGAACCCACAGGTTATAACTTCTGATGCATTGTGCATGGTGAGGAACACCGGGATTGCCTGCCATTGGGAGAGAACAAAAATGCCCAAATCAACCCAGAACAGTCACACACAGAGGAAGAGGCACTCCTCTTAGGGACAGCTGTCCCACATGTTTGTGGTTTTGGTTTTTAAGCTGTAAATCCATGTTACGTTTCCTAAAAAGGACTCAGACCCATTCCAATCACCATTACATGGCACAGCCATCTTTAAATGCAGACCCTGCTTGCTTTTTCTCCTACTTCCTAGAGCTCAGGTGGTTTGTTTGTACACAGCTACCTTGGTGAGATTTGCCCTAGGCTTCTGCCTCTAGTTTTACATCTCTACTCAGGTATCTGCAGCCTCCACAGTACATAGTTCTCATTATTTTTCCCATCTCTGTCTACTGCTACTAAGAATACAGTCTGACTCCTAGCAACAAAATTATGGGCGAGATGATTTTAGGTGATTGCTTTCAGTTACTGCTAGGAAGAGCTGCCCGAAATTAGGGTAGAAATGTAATAGTTCATACATAAGTGATGTTGAAATTATACCCACTGAGGTATCTGGATACCATCCCAACATGAAATCATTAAGAATCAAACCCCAATGATAACAATAATGAATCAAACACCCACTGCCCCAGGCAAACCCAACCAGAATTAGTGGTTCATCATACTTCCTTCAAATCAGATCCATGGTCTCTCAGACAGTTGAAACAGAAGCAATTCTCTGCTCCGATTAAGATAATCTAAAGACTAAGGCAGTTTTAGGAAGTAGCACTTCCCAACTTTTGTATAGTATTTAAATCACACAAGTAGCAAATGAGTTAACTTCTCAGTGATGGATCAGGTGATATAAACAGCAAATATCTCTTAAATATGACTTTGTATTCAGAAATCTGTATTTTCTGGATTTTTCTTTTCATTCCCATGAAGCTGGATAAACATCACTAATTAAACATCTTAAGTCATAATGACTGACAACTTGGGTGGATCCATAAACACAACAGTTACACCAAGATAACTTTTAACACCTCTAAATTAGCAAGGAATGAAAATCACACAAACACAACCAACATAAAGTTGTCAGCCCCAGCTTCATCGATTCTGAAAACCAATTCTCAACCCTGTTGCTGGACAACTGAGAACATAAAACCAGAAGTATTTAACATAAGCATCCTGAGCCTGACGCAATAATAGGAAATACAAGAAATAACCATACACAAGGAAAGCTGACAGCAGAATTTACATTCTTCCTTTTGTGAAGCCAACTTACTGGGTTTTTCTTTCCTCCTCCTCTGCTTTTGGCTCTTCCAAATGTGTTTTGAAGCCAACAGTGGCTCCAGTTTGCCTAGACCAGTTAACCTTCTCCATATGTCTACTGTCTTTGATGTGAGTATTTCTTAAATTTGTGAGTGGACTTAATGCTTACGAAAAGAAAGGTTTACTGGTTGGGCAGGCAGGGGGAATAGACTCCGTACAAACCTCCCCTCGAAGCTTTGCATACTTTAGTTAATGCATCACAGCCCAGACCTCAGCAGCCCTCCTCCAGTTCCAGCCCTGAACTCCTGGGCACTGGAAACTGCCAGCACCTCTAGGGAGAGGCACAAATAGAGGTTAAGATTGTAGCCCTGCCAGTATACAGGATTGTTTGAAAGTGGATCTCCCTGGCTTTGATCAAAAAAGTGCACGTGATTTCTGCTTTAGGAATAAACCCACTTAATTCAAATACACTGCTGAGGTGAGCCAATTGAGGTACAAGTTTGGGAGAGTCCATTTTCCTTCTCATTGTGTCATAAAATTATTGTATGCAAAGTTACTGTAAGTAAAGCTTCTATGTAGAATTTAATTTAGCCCCAGTACAAGGCATTACAGAGTAACTATGGCCTAAGACTACTTGTCCTTTTGTCTTTCCTCCTAAAATGGCCACAGAATTAGGCCTCTAAATCCCCATTCATGTACAACAAAAAGCCATTCAGAAATTCGAGATGCTCCTTAAGAAAGGTTTGGGATACAAACCAAAACCATTCACAGCCCCTCTGCCACTCCAGTGCATCTCACTCCTGAATGACCAGAGCAAGGACAGAAGGGAAAGGAGGTGATTTACAGGATGACTAGGAAGTAAGAATAGCAGAGAGGATGTGATTCATATCTCCTCCAAATCCCAGGTGAGCAGGCAGCAAAGATGCTGCTGCCAAGGCTTTACTGCTGTTTCCAAACAGGGCTCTCCTTCGGGATCTTTGCTCAGTTTACACCAAGGAAGCCCAGTGGAACTTGCTTTGACAAGGAACCAAGAGGAGGTAAATGCAATCACCCTGACACAGAGCTAATCTGGAGGCATGCAGCTTCTGAGCACATGCCTGTGCTTTCCAAAGGTCCCTTGGGTCTGAGATGAGGCACCCAGCCTTGGTTGTGTGGACATGGACCTCCTGTCCTTTTCTGCCCTACCTTTCCCCTGGGATGTTCAAGGGATCACTACAAGCAGAATCTTGTCAAAAATTCCCTTTTGATCCTTCTTGAGGTTTAGGAGCTGGCAGAAGGGAGCTGGCTCTGGAATTAAGATTAGGATGTATTGACAGAATGTAGAAAGGAACTAGTGCAGAATCTCGCCTCGTAGACTGCATAACAGCAGTAAAACATTTTTTAAAAATTCATGTCTGCCTTTTTTTTTTTTTTTAAGAAAGACTGTATTATTTAAGTAAAAGGCATTGAACTTTAATGAAAGCAGATCTGATATCCTCTAAACATTTGGTAGGTGTTGTGATTCAAATGAATCATAAGACTGATTAACCTAACTCTTTCCGTAATCTCTTTCCAACTTTCAATTTATTTTTTCAAATCCTGTTAAGCATCAGAAGCTTCTCACTGAAGTGGTCTTCATCCTTTTCCTAGAAGGATTTCCCACAGAACCCACAGCCCTACTCCCCTCTTCGCAAAGCTACCAGTAGTAACTTCTTCAGCTTCTTCCCTCCTTGCACAATTCAGACCACTGAGGATCTGTTCTGCGAGACACCGAGTACTCTGGAGAGATGCTGAGTGCTTTGGACTGTCACAGAGAGGCTTTTTGATACTGCTCTACTCTTTGTAGGACTGGACTGCTGCTCTAGCACCATTAATAACATATGTACTATTTAAGCCCCTCTTCCCTTCTTTCCCAACCCAGGAACAGCATTAAACATCTTGAATGAAGGGAATGTTCTTTGCTCATAAAGTAGAGGTAATAAGGAACTGACTTCTACTTGCGCGTTTCTTACCAATCTAGACAGTGCCCTAGAGCCAGCATAAATAATGCCAACAAACAGCACTGAAGCAGGAAGCCATGACAGGATTTCAGACCTGTGAAAACAATTAAAATCCCATTACTTCACCACATTCTGTTTACATACAGTCAGCAACAGTTGCTTGCAAGGATTATAATAACATGTATATATGTACATATATTTCAAAGGTGTGCATATTAAATTCATTGTCTGATTGGTCAGTATTCCTCCCATGTAGTAAAGAAGTCTGAGACAGAAATGAATCACTTCATCTAATCCCAGAAAGGAGCTATCTGCAGATATATTTTCTTTCTTTTACTCTTTCCCTGGCTCCTCTCCTTGCAGAATCATTTGTTTCATAGCAATTACTCTTACTGGTTTTACGGAAGAGAAATTTCAACTAATTTCCTTGATGTGCTGTAAAAGGAAGAAAAACTGACAAATGAAGGCATAAAATGGTGTACTTGCACAGACAGCACACATTTTCACTATGTACAAACACACTTGGCCACCCACACATTCGTTTCTCAGCCAGATTTACAAAGAGATTCTTCCTAAAGATCAGATTGTCTCTGTGGGAGCCTGTCTCTTGAGATTTCCTAATGATACTCCTTTGACTAAGCCAAGCTCCTAGAGGCAGTTTGACAACTAATGGAGGAATGAAGTCATCACAGATTGATCTGATATTTTTTTTTAGCCATGGTTACTGCAGTAGGGTCAGGTTTCGGTTCTGAGAAGGGGCTTCAGAATTTGCACTTTTCCTTTTTTGATCTTGATACTTAAAGGGAAAAAGGGATCAGGTAGGTGGTAGATTTCAGAGAGAATAACATAAGATTTTGAGCAAGGGAGAAAAGGAGTAGCAGTGATCTAAAGGCCCGATCCAAAGATTTCCCAGGACTTAAGACACTGCTACCTCCATTCACTCTTCCCAAGCTTTGAACTAAAGTCAAGAAAATGTTAATGAATAATACTGGCTCTCAAAATGAAACCAAACTCCTTGTAGTTCCTTAATTTGGATTATACTTCCGACTAGCATTTATACTTAAAACTTAATTATAGATACTGCTACACTACCACACTTCATGGAAGACAGGTGAAATAGACCACTAAATGATGAAATCAGAACAGTCTGAATGAAGATAAAACATGCCCAAAGATTCATGTAAAAACAGACAAAGAAAAAAACCTAAACATCACATTTCCTCTTTTTTTTTTTTTTTTCAATACATAATTTTCTAAGATACTTAATCAACAACCCAGGGTAACAAAAATAGAGTAATCTTTAGATCCTTTCAACGTCATAAATATTTTCTCTGTTTTTTGGGGTAGTCACCATGATTTCCTATAAAAACACTGTTCCTTTTAAGATTATTTACTTCAACTGGAATTTCACCAACACCAGGATTTGAAACTGTCATACCTCATTACCAACAAGTTCACATCAGACACCAACAAAAATACCCCCATCCTATTTGAACTGCAACAAATGGAAGAAAGGGGAGGGAAGAAAAGAAAGGAGGACTGGGAAGATGAAAGGAACACACGATGAAAACTGAATTTTCATTTCGAATTTAACACTCTTTCATGTTCCCCACCACTAAATTCTAAGAATCCCAAAGATACTTTAATCTCCAATGCAATCAGAAAGGACTTCTGATCAATGATGTAAGGGGAGAATTTTATGTTGCCAAGTGGGAACTTTAGGACTGAAAAAGAATGCATGGATGTTTGATGTAATGTGTCAGAACCAACAATCTGTCTTGTATGTAAACCAATTAGTAGCTTCTTATGTTGGCAATAGTGATGTACATGCAAAACAGGAACTGATAAGGTTGTGTTTGCAGAGCTAGATCCAAAGCCCACTAAAGTCACTAAAGGGCAGCTTCCCCTAAACCACATTTTTGAACTTTGGTTTAACCAAGGCTCAGAGCTGCTGCTTAGCTGTGAGGAAAATTCAGCACTATAAGAAATGCCAACCAGAACAGAAAGGACTTATGTGCCTACAAGTGTTAGGCATAAGCTGGGCAGCAGATTGCAGTGCTGGAAACATTATGCAGATGCTTTGCATATTCCTCTGCGCTCCAAGAGCCCTTGTTTTGGATACAAGTTTTGCAGACAGTCACCACCCTTTAGAAGCAACAGTGATGGTAACAGAGTCCCTTACAGCTGGGAGTACGGGGAGGGGAAGCAGATGAAAACCAGCATGTCCACAAAACCTAAGAGAAATTACTCTAAGTAATGTGTTTTTATTTGGTCTTTATTGGGAAGCTAGTATTCTGGACTTTAGACAAAGGGTGGTGATCTCTGTAATAAAATAATTCCGCTGAGATACTTTGGGATAACCTGAACTGGCTCAGAAAGCATGTAAGAACAGTCCACATGAGAAGAATACTGAGACTTTGTGGAAATAAGTAAATGAATGGGTAGCAGTGTATTATGTGAAGCAAGACAAGACTGGGGACTGGATACAGTATTCTTAAGTATCCTACAGACACATAAAAAAACCCAAAACAAACTAACCAAACCAAACCCCAAACAATTAAGCCAACAGATAGATTCAGAGACCAGTATTCTGTAAGGAGAGGTGTGGAGTGTGGAAATGTCCGTGTCCCAGTGCCAGTAATAAGAAAAATCATCTTTGGAGGGGGAAGGAGCTTGAGAGGAATCAGTAAACAGAAGCTTTGAGACATTATGTTTGTTTGTTGGGAATTTTTTTGTTTGGTTATGTTTTGGGAGTTTTGTTGGTTTTTTGGTTTTTTTTTTTTAAAAATACAGGAGATATATCCTCCAAGTCTAGCTCAGCAAACCATTGAAGCATGTGGCTAATTCTTCTGAAGAAATACAGGTTTAAACTCATGCTTAAGTAGTTAGTTGAATTATAGCCAAAACACATGAATTATTTCACTCTCTTGTAGAACAGTCATTCTGTACTAGTGAAACAAAGTTTCTCAGGATGTATTTAATCACTTTTCCTAGAGTGTGCTGACATCTAGTGGCCTGAAGTCTCCCTCGTCAAAACACAAGCTCATTTTTCATGAATTTTTCTTAGATAAAAACATCCTCTTCAATAGCAGAAAATGGTTCTTGTCCAGTATTTTCTTTAATGTCTTCCAATCTTTGAAAAAAATAAAATATCTTTTCCAAGACGGAAAAAAAGATTCAACTTCTTTCATTTCATGATTTAAAGCAAAAGTACTCCTCTAATGACAACAAGCTGAACTGAAAAAGATATTATTGATTGCTGTATTCCTTTAGACTGTTTTGTGAAGACAAAATCTGCATAAACAATATACATTTGATAATAATATATATATTCCAGTGGCTGCCACTAAAGCAAGGTTTAGACCCTAATCCCGCCTCTAACTATCATATCACTAACAGCTTTTATACCAATCTCTTCATTTTATCTACACTGTAGGCAAAAGACGGGAAGTTAAATTGTGTTTCCATTTACAACTTCACTTAAGTTTCAGTGGTGATGTAGTGACTTGCATGGACATGAAAAAAGAACATAGCCTGGTTCTTCTGACATACACACAGGATTTCATTCCAAATTAGGAGATTCAGTTTTGCAAGACAACTGTTTGAATCCCAAACAGAAAATTGATCAGTTGCCACTTGCTAATACAGAATCACTGAAAAAGGTTACATTATAAGGGAACTCTGGCAGTGTAGTTCAATTCCCCCCAGTTTCAGAGTCAAGTCACATTACTCAGCTCACTGTCCAGTAAAGTTTTGAGTATCTCCAGAGATGGAGATTCAACAATTGCTGTGGGCATACATCTTCTAAATTATACCATTTTGCAAAATAAAAACGATAGGCCACATTCCATAATGCAGAATGGATTCACCTGAGCAGAGTGCAGTACGTTGGATGACTTTTCTGAGTTGCTGTCACACTCAGTCCAAGCAGATGATCTTTGGGGAAGGGTGTATCAATGCTCTTAACGCAAGGTTTCTTTTATAATACTATAAAATAATCCAGGGAAGAACCATGGACAGTCAGTTGAAAAAGTGTGATGCTTTTTTGATTGTCTTACCAAGGTTAAATTGAATTCGCTTTATATTAGTAATCAGTTGAAGTGTGTGTCATTGAACTTTCATTAGACTAGAACACAAGATCTCTCTTGCACCTGTGAAGCAAACCACACACACACACACACATCCCCTGACTTATATTTTAGCAAATCAGTAACTTCTACAACCAACTTGACTATGTCATAACCCATCTACAGAAAATAAGTATTTAGCAGATACTGAAAAGCCCACAGTACCTTGAACACAAGTTTATCTCTACCCAGCCCAGCTTCCAGGAGACATGAAGCAGAAGTCCACCCACTAATGTCTGCCACCTGAAATAGAAGCAAAACAGCACCTCTGAATCTTTTGTGCTTTTAAATTATCTGGAGCATGGACTTAGACCCCACAGGATTTCTCACAGCACAACCATGACTAGTTATCTACTGTTTCTCTAGGTTACCAGGAATGACACTATCCCCCTTTGAATACTTCATTTTTGTGGGCCTTCATTTCCTCCAAGTTTTCTAATGCTCTGGTACTTTCACCTCCTGTTTCAGATGCTTTGTATATTACCATCTACCATAATTACCTTAGTCATGTTACTGAATCCTCATTTTATCATCCAATAATAACAGCGATGTTACAGACACAATGATCTGAAGATGCAAGTGAGGCAAGGTTTGTGACAAGAGATTAATATCTTTTCATACATAAACCATTACTATTAGAACAAATAAACATGATTTCAGGATTCAAAGACTCGCTTCAGCTGAAGCAATAAGATCCAGTGATGATATATGTAGTCCTACCAGTTTCAAACATTAGCTCTATGACTTCTCATGGTTATTCATGCTGGGCTTAGATTACAAACTCCCTCAAACTCAGATTGCTTGTGTAGCAAGCACCAAGTGAAGTGTCATCAACAATAACATCATTACACTGCACAAGCCTCTGATTCAGAGCCTCTAGAGAGAACATCTTCACAGCCAGATAACCTTGCATATAAACCACCATACTGCAGTTTTCTCACTGAAAAGGTATATAACAATTATATACATTTTGCATTGACTTGTCCTACCATAAAGGCATTCCTTAGTTTATTATGGAATAGTACATAAGCCCTTACAAATTCTTGCAGGTAACTTAAAATGAGTAGTGATGAACAATGATTTTTTTTTAAGCTTTAAAATAAGTTATTAGGTTCCTTCTTCCTTTAACTAGTGGTTTTCACAGAGGTGTTTCATGTTTCCTGGGTGAAAATCCTTGAACACCTAGTGTAGTTCAGACAGAGATAATGCATTATAGTGTTAAATCACATTAACATCTGTAACAGGTATAGAAGTGGGTTTATTTATTATTCCCATTCATTGCAATGCATTTAAGCAATTATTTAAAGTCTCTTTCACACATACAAAAATAAACAAATATCCACTCTATGCAGTATTACATACAGTTGGACAGCATCAGAGAAAAGCCAGTTCATTGTCCACATGAGTGTAATGATTATTAAATGCTACTATCCCAGCTCACTTCACCTTTTTTAGATGAGGTGCATACGAGAGCTTAAAAGCCAGGTATCCCTGATGTTTGCTGCAGGCTTGGCCATGCTCTATTCCAAGCCAGTGATAATTCCCATCAACTTTATTGTGAAGAATTTCCTCTTGTCTCAGGTTTTAAGGACAGAAGTTGAAGTTAGTTCCAGATGCTTAGCACAATGCAATATAGTATTAGATTATATAGGGAACAAAACCAATGACAATGAACAGTAACAGCATGAACTGAGAATAATATTATTTTCCCTCTTTGCTCATCTGTCATAGCTCTAAATGAAAGTGCATCTGAGCCACTTAATTTTCAAGGAAAGGTCACTTTTAAAAGCCAGAACTTATGGAAAAATGTTAAGATGCTGAGATGCACTTCCAAATAATAGAAAAAGGAAATAACTGTGGTAACACGGGTGCCATAAGACTGCCACTGAAATATGCTTTTTTGCTGTTGATTTACCACACTTGTATTTCACATACTTTACTCAAAACCCCTTCCCCATATGATAAAAGCCTTGTCCAAGAGACAGTCTCTGTGTGTCTGTCGAAACTGAAGAAAGCATTCATTGCATATTTAATAAAGCTCAGTACACTCAAAGAAAATGGAGTTTCCCGAGACAATTATTCTTAGAGTTGATTGCAGCCTTGGGGCTGCAAGTCAGGCAAAAATGTAAGTCATGCTAAGCAGTAGTAAAGGAATTAAAGATATCCAGTGTCTGCAGATTTTACCATTATCTCAAAAGAACAAATGGGGGAAGTCTTCACTCTAAGAGGCCAGATTTCCACTAAATGTCTCACAAATTATTAACAGCACTGATGTTATATGGATACTTAACAAAACATTAAATTTATCATTTCATCATTAAGATATGATAGTGACTTGTGATGCAGAGCTACAACAAAGGCTAAGCATGAAAATAAGCAACATGGTATTTGTATATGCCTGAAGATGGGTTTAAGGTTGGTTTCCATTAGCATAGCGAAAGAATACACCACACCTGCACATTATCCATGAATGGCATTTCCAAAGAAGACAGACTGTACTATAATTGCTACTTTTCTATGATGAAGTGTAAAACTTTCAGAAAAATGGGAAATTATGGAGTCTATATATCTTAATTACATCACCATAATGATGTTTAAAAAATAACCAATACACATTAATGAATGCTTTACTAAGGCTTCTTGAAGTATGTTCTCTAGACAGCAAAAGCCAGTAATGACAAGAGGTATTAAAGTTAGCTTCAGCATAGAACAGCAAGACATTTACTGATGAAAGTAATTTTTTAAACAGCTGTATTCTTAAAATGGTACTTACCCTTGAAAAAGGGTAGGGTAGGTAAATTTCAGGACAGACAGGACATACTGGAAAACAAATACCAAATTAATGGACATCAAACACCTACAGCGTTATAACATTAACAATCATGAGAGCAACAAAACACAAAAAGTTTCTACCAAAATAAAGAAAAGCAAAAAGCAAAAAAAAAATTTCAGTAATTTCTCTTCCCGTGCCAGAACTGCTGGATGCTGCCCCAGTCACTGTGGAAGGTAGCAGACAGTAAAGTACGTGAGTGGACATACTGAACAATGGAGAGAAGGCTACCTTCTGAATTGCTCTTTCAATTTCTGAGCACACTCCATGCATTGCACTGAATGGGAACAGGATTAATAGGAACAAAAAGACACAAGCACTTGTCAGTTACAGTCATACCATACCACAGAGGCAACTTTCGGCAGAATCAAGACCAATAAACTTAATTGCCTCTGGATGATTAACTCATCTTACAGACCTAACGTTCTGTTCACACACCATTTACACTTAATGTAAAACATTAAGCAGTCCATAAAGCCTGTTGGAGATGAAATATACGGGGGGGGGGGGGGGGGGGGAAGAGGAGCAAAGCCTCCAGGTTATTGCTTTAGTATGCTTTGTCAGGGTCTGCACATATGGATGCTAGTGTCTTTTCCCACTATATATGTGTATATGCCAATATGGGGCAGAAATATGTGTGTCTTTCAAGGTGTGTATCAGGATCTAACAACTTTCCATAATGAAGTATATGAATACTATTTCTGTAAAGGAAAAGAATGACTGGAGCTTCCTCAGAGGAAAGGAAAGGTACTTGCCATTTCTTCCAGGAGCCAGCAGTTGTCAGTGGTAAAAGGAGGAGCTGAAGGCTTTCAACAGAGAGGAAACTCTACTGAGCACTTTGCAAGGTCCAGTTTTTATGCTGTGTGGGATGTCACTAAGAAGCTGGCATCAATATACAGAGACAAGGCATGCTGATTCACAACGGGTCATGTTACACATACACTTGTCTGAACTGCCACATGGGTTTTAAATCAGGACAGTACACCTGCACATGTCCGTACCTTCATTTGCATTTACAAGCCACCTGCAACAGCTGAAACCTCTATATTCTGGTTATTTTTAACTTTATTACATTAAAACCTGCATTCAGGTTTGAAAATGGAGACCCTGTATCAACTTCCTCTCAAGTACAGTTAAGTACTTTTTCCAATGCATAATACAATCCAGCAGCTCTTCTAGCTCCTTTCTGTTTAACTAATCACTGCTCCCAGCCATCTCTCAAATCAAGTGCATTACCTCTCCCTACGAACTTTGCTTCACATCTAGACTTCAGTCTATTTCTGGGCATCCTTAATGGCAAATGTGCCTTTGAACAGAAATCAGCGGCTGATGCTGAGAAGAGATTTATTTCATTTTCACCTCCAAAATGCTGCTTTTCTCTAGCTCTCCCTCTGGAAATCCATATCCTAGTTGCTTCAAAACATCTTTTCTTTCAGAAATCTGCACCAGAAACACGGACATACTCTCTGATAAATAGTACTGCAAGGAGTAGTTACTCTATCTCCTCCTCCTAGAGGGAACAAACTACATCAAACTGTGTTTAAACTACAATTTTATTCACAATGTGGCCATCTTCAGCCTACTTCTCCTTCTGCATAGGCCCTTCAGCCATATCAACAGGCAACTGAGTTGCACAGTGAGAAAGCAACTTCATGTCCTTAATTTGCAGGTTAATTAAGCTGTCAAAGGGTCCACAGAGGTTAATACTTGCTTCACTGCTACTATAGTGCTTTGAGTATTTAATATTTTTCCCTTGGATAGTTGGTATTTGTGCCAGCTAACAGATCTTTTGGGAATGACTGCGCATTCAGTGGTTGCTGGATACCAAATAACAAATACATTCAGCATCACTGGTGCTTTCAAAGCAGCATAATTTCTGGCTCTATAACAGCTCTATAATTAATTTGAATAATATGATGTTACACCCTCGCTCTCCTAAACATGCCAGCAGTGAAACGTATGTGCCGTGGAAAGGTACAGATGTCACAGACTGAGAAAAACGAGACCGGGAGAAGACAGCCATGGTCTCAATTTCGAGCGCACACGCGGAGGAGCGGCAGTGGGCCTTCGGGCTGAAATGCTGGGTGGGGGTTTTCACTCGTGGGGTAGCCCTCCCTCCTCCGGGAGGGCCTGAGCCGCCGGCTCTCCCTGAGCAGAGCTGGGCGAACAGAGGACATCGCCGTTCCTCCTCCTGGGTCCCTGCGGTCACCTCGCCCCTCGGGCGCAGCCCCCACACGTCCCCCCCCGCCCCGCCCGGCCCCTCCGAGCCTGGGGTGGCTCCGCGCCCGCCCTCACCTTGTTGGTGAAGCAGGACGCCAGGTAGAAAAGGCAGAAGGCGAGGCCGCCCGCCGGCCTCTTCAAATACATCTGTCACCGCGGGCCCCGCCGCCAACGCCCGGGTGCGCGGGCCCGGCCGGCGGCCGCCATGGCAGCGACACGCAGCGCCGCGGCCGCCCCAACGGCACCGGGCTCCCGCCGCCGGGCGCCGCCTCCTTAAAGGGCCGCTGCGGCCGGGGGCGCTGGGGGGCGCAGGGGGAGAAGCTGGGCCTGAGCCGGCAGCGGGCGCTCGCAGCCCAGAAGGGCCACCGTGCCCTGGGCTGCGTCCGGAGGAGGGTGGGCAGCAGCGCGAGGGAGGGGATTCACCCCCCCTGCAGTGCTGGGGCCAGCTCTGGGGCCCCCAGAATGAGAAGGACACGGACCTGCTCGAGTGGGTCCAGAGGGGGCCACCAAGATGAGCAGGGGGCTGGAGCAGCTCCCCTGGGAGGCCAGGCTGAGAGAGTTGGGGGGGTTCAGCCTGGAGGAGAGGAGCCTCCGGGGAGACCTGATAGTGGCCTGCCAGTATGTAAAGGGCTACAGGAAAGGAGGGGAGGGACTCTTTGGTGGGGCCTGTTGCGATATGACAAGGGGCAATGGTTTTAAACTAAAGGAGAGTAGATTTAGACTAGATATTAGGGAGAAGTTTTTTACAATGAGGGCGATGAGACGCTGGAACAGGTTGTGCCCACATAAGTTGTGGGTGCCCCCCTCCCTGCAAACATTCAAGGTTAGATGGGGCTCTGAGCAACCCGATTTAGTTGAAGATGGCCTTGCCCATCGCAGGGGGCTTGGAACTAGATGACCTGTAAAGGCCCGTTCTAACCCAAACCGTTCTGTGATTCTATGATTCATCAGTGATGTGTAAACTATAAATATGCCAGGGAGATAAAGAATCAGTGAAAGATGTGCCCTACCTAGTCACGGTTACTGGGCGTTCTTTTATTATGCCCTAGGTAAGCCTCATTCTTCCCACTTCTGGTGTGAGCAAGGCCATGTCTCTGCAGTTCTCAGTTTGACTTTGCTCAGGTAATGCAAAGCACAGGGCTCTCTCTGTACAGGTACACCCTATTTTTAGAGGACAGAGCAAAGCTGTTATAAATAAGGAACTGTGACCTAAACTGGGGAGTGAGGGGGGCACTAACTGGTGGACCAGAGGCCAAATGCAGCCCATAAAATGAGCCTGTCTAAACTGCGATGTTTAGCCTCAAAAGACAAAGTCAGCAGGGCACAACAGCTGAAGGTCTCCACAGCACCAAGACAAATTTAAAAATTTTGCTCCATCAGACACAACACAGACATCAGATTTCCAGCACTGAGAAGTTTAGTCCATCCAGGCCTACAGAGATCACTGACATGCCACTGCAGTGGATGCAATAGAGATGGCAGGGTAGGTGATACAGCATTTCCACTTTGGAGCATGTGTTTCTGTAAACACATCAAATGTGTATTTTGCAAACAGAGGTATACTTTGTATTGGGTGCCAAAAATTCGGCCTGTAAAGCTTTAAAAAAAATATTAAGAAAAGTTTACAGGTATCTACAAAGTCTAAGGTAAGCGTGTGATAAGAATACTTCTGGTGGAGTATCATTTTCATGCAAAATATTACAGTGATATCTCTCTTTCTTGTAGTATTTCTTATTAAAAGTGGGGGACTCGGGCAAAGATGACACATCTTTCTACACCCAAATGCCAAGGCAGGTTTGATTTTTTGTAAGCCACTTACAGTGAGGGATTAAGAATGAAGATAGAAATTTCTGACAATATTGTTCATCATGACTAACTTGAATTATGAGCGATATGAAGAGAAGTTTCTGTTCTATCTAGATTTCTTTTTTTTTTAGGAGACGTGAATGCATGGCAAATGATTTTGTTTACATGTCATTTCACAGATCATTTCTTCTTAATACAATTCAGTTCAAAGTTTGATCCATTCATAGAAGAGGTCATGGGATCAAGGCCTAATCGGGTAATATTTAAGAGACTAATATAGAAGACATTTCTGAAGATAAAAAGACATAGGACTATTAAGTCATTGATGTCTTTTTGAATCAAAAACTACAAAACCCTGTTTCCTTAATCAGTGCTTGTACAACTGTGCTAGAGTAATGATTTTCTTGGGGCAGCACATTGCTTTGACATTCTGCTCCTTTATAAAACTGATAAATTTAGCCGAAGAAGATTAAGGGGGCACGGCAGCAATCTTCACACCCCAAAAGGCAGCTGCAAAGGGAAAGAAATAATCTCTTTCTGCCAGGGCTAAGGGCTGCGTGGGTAGGAACCACACTGGCACCGCATTGCCAAAGCCACCCCGGCGCCTCCGAGGCACACGCCTGTGTCGCGCCTTCAGGCTGTGCGTTGTGACGGGGGCCCTTACCCTCTTCCAAACCCTCTGCCTTCGAGCTGGGCGCTTCCTGCAGCGACGGACGCCGGAACAGTTTGTCTTGGGAGATTGTGATGCCTTAACATCACTACAGGTTGTTGGAGACAAACGAGGTGAACTTTGGCCGACAAAGCTGCTTCTTGTACGCCCAAGAGTCGACGAGAACGGCTTTTGCTGGGCCTACGCCGGCTTTGCTGGGGGTGTAATGCCCCGAGCGGGCCGGGGGGTGCTGTGAGACCCCTGAGCGCTGCTCCCGCTCCTGCAGCCAGCCAGCTCGGCCAGGCTGGTTTCCCAATTATCAGCGCAGCTGCGGCCTGCGGGGGGTTCTAGGCATCGCTCCCTGCCTGCTGGAGCAGATGGGAAACTGCAACCGCGTTGCCGCAACGCGGTACCCCCGTGCCTCTGTCCTGGAAATGCGGCATTTGAATCGCAGTGCTGTTTTCCAGGTAAACGTTACCTGTGAAATTGAGGCGTAACAGCTGCCAGGTGACATAGGAAGTATTTGATTTTGTATTTGCAGCAAGGTAGGGGAGCAGGATGAAATGACTTTGCCCGCCTACAGGTTTCTTTATTTTCCCCGCTTCCCTCGGTTACTCGCTTAGACAAAAGCAAACGTCACCCCGTTTTGCCGCCACCGCCCTCACACCCAGCACCTCCCTCACCGACGCCGCCGCTGACCCCGCCGTGACATCACCGGAAAGGCGGGCGTGGCCGCGGGCCGCCGGCCAATGGGGGAGCCTGACGGTGGGTGACGGCACGGGGGAGAACCCGGAAGGTTTCGCATTCGGACCGTCGCTGCCCCGAGGAGAGGGCCCCGCCGCCGCCCCCCGCCCGCCTGTGCATGAGCAGATGGACCCGGTCGAAGTCGCCGCCGCCCCCGACGCCGGGCCGGGCGCCGCCTGGCAGAGCAAGGTGATCGCGGGCTGGGCGCCGCCGGGCCTGGGCGGCGGCCCGCGGTGCTGCGCCCGGCCGCCTCCGCCATCTCCGCGCTTGGGGGCCGCGGCGGTGCGGCCGCCGGCCCGGCTCCCGGGAGGAGGAGGAGGAGGAGGAGGAGGAGGAGGGCAGAGGCGTGTCGGGGCGCGGGCAGTGGCCCCCGCTGGCTGCAGCGGGGCGGGCGCGGAGGTGGCCGCGGGCCGCGGCTGCCCCCCTCCCGCCCGGCTCCCTCCGAGCGGGCCGAGGCCGACGAGAGGAGGCAGCGAAGTGGTGTCGGCAAACCGAGGGGCGCAGTTATTTGACGAATAAACTCAATTCGGGCGGCTGAAGTGAGTAACGAGCCGCGCCGGGCAGGGCATGGCGCGGTTCGCCGCTGCTAGCGGTTATCTTCTCGGTGGAGAGAGCTGCTGTTAGACCCCGACGAACGAGTCGCTTCTCTCCGAGCGCAGCCGGTGAGCGGGGAATGGACGCTAAGCGACTTTGGCGGTCGGGTCAGTGAGTCACAACTCGGTTGGATTCATCGTTCCCCAGCCCCCGCCTCCCCAAGCAAAGTTGTGTGCGTGATTCTGCGGTTTTGAAGGGATGGCTGTCATTGCAGGGCTGTAGAAACCGGGGAGGAAGTTGTGCATAAGCCATTAATACTGTTGTTATTCCAGGAGAAGTTTTACATAGTCCGTGTGTACACTTGAAAGCAGATTTCCTGGGAAGATTGCCCCTGTCTTCAGAGGGTGCTGACAAACTTAGTCTTTTTTTCCCCCTCCTTTAGTAAGTGACCATCAGCATCCTTTCAATCCCGGTTCTCCCTGTCGAATTAATGAAACTATTCCTTGAGGTATTTTCTGTACTTCAATTCATCGTGCTTCCCTAAGTATCCGTAGAAGACAAGCTCTTATAAGATTACATGAGCTTACTTTAGAGCCAGTGATAGCTAGTTATCCTGGTTATTGTGTTGCCACTTCATTTCTTGCTGACTTGAGTAAAATGTTTATTTACAGTGTCCGTGGGGATCCCCTAACACAACATCAATATCATGTTCCCTTGCTGATGTAATGAGTGAACAGCTAGCGAAGGAGCTACAGCTGGAAGAAGAAAATGCTGCTTTTCCTGAAGTGGTTGCGTAAGTTTAAATCCTGGATTAGTGATCTCCATAGTTGTGAAACCATCTTCCATCTCTTGTGCGTTTCCTTACAATGTGCTTAAGGTGTAGCGATATAGTAAATGCTTTGCCTATTGCCTCCCAACTCTGCTTTTTCAGGTCTTTTTCAGTGAAGATGGCTTCACCAGTTAAAACTCTTCCTTAGATTTTCTTCTCTGTCACCCTTCCTTTTTTCTTGATAATTTATTTGCATTGCTTTGGGTGCTTTAAGCCAGTCTGTAAGATGCGTTTTGAGAAATGTTGTCAGAAACAGGTTTTTTCTTCCCTTTTAGAGATTCATCGTTAACTGTTGTTAACGATGTTATTTTGAGAACTGTCAAGTGTATCACCTGTATCCTTCTAATGCTTGGAAGCTCTAAACATAGGCCAAGAGCTTACTAGTTTTAAACTCACACAAATTTTGCCTGCAGTCTTTTTTGTGAAGCAGAGCAAAGCAACATTCATTGTTTGTTTTTCTAAATTTGTGTTTGTTTGTTTATAAAAATATATAAATATATATATACACACATACACCTGCATGCCTTCCTTCTCTTTGGTGAAGGACATCTTAAAAGTAGACCCTAATATTTCTTACAAAATGGTATACAAGTAAAAGTATAAGTAATATTTGCATTGTAAGGGAGTGGCAAAAAGAAATGAAGTCATGCTCTATTAATATTTAGTGTTGGCTTGGAGGAAGCGTGGACAGTTGAGGTCCA